TCGACAATTTCAGAATACGCATAAAATATTCTATGAGGGAGGAAAACTTGTAATTTACTCTGAAAAGGTCATAATCATGGATTATATTCCATAGAAATGTGGGAATTTCAGAGTAAGGTAATTTCAAAGTATGCATAAAATATTCTTATGGAACGACACTTGTGATTGGGTTAAAAACAATCATAATCATGAGCTATAGTCCTTTTGGTGTACGCATAACATATTTTATGTGTGATGGCAATTTGTAATTTAAAGAAAAACCGCCAAATCATGGGTTGTCATCGATAGTAATTCGGGAATTTTGGAGTATGCTCACAATATGCTCTTCATGATGTCAAGTTGTGATTTGGTCTAAAGGGCAACAACCATGAATTATAGATCACAAAAACTCATAAATGTTGTATTACATAAAATATATTCCTTGCAGGACAACAATTTGTGCAGGACTACTTGATTTTTGCTCAAAAATTGTTAAAATTATGTATTATAGTCCATAGAAATTATAAAATTTCGGAGCACAGAAATTATTCTGTGGCACGGCAATTTGTGATTGACTCATAAACAGCCATAATCAGGAGCTACGATCGACAAAAAAAATCAAGAAAATAGATGTGCACATAATATGTTTTATGTGTAATGGCAATTCATAATTTGGTGAAAACGACAAAATCATGGGCTATAGTCAACAAATCCAAAACTTTTGAAGTACGCATAAAATACTCCCTATGAGGCTGCAAATTGTGATTTGGTAGGAAACAACCATAATCATGCATTATAGTCCAATAAACTTTGGGAAGCTTGGACTATGTATACTATATTCTACATGGGAAGGTAATTTGTGATAACCACTGTTTTAAATATCGGCCGATAACCGATATTATCGGCCGAGTTATCGGATTTGGGAGCTCTCCGATAGGATAACTTGGATTTTTAATCGGTTATCGTTTTTGGCAAATTATCGGGGAGTTATCGGCGTTATCGGTACTTATCGGCCGATAAGTAAGGTTTTTTTATCGGGATTATCGGCCGATAAGTAAGGCTATGCAATCGAATGGTTTCATCGTGCGGTCAAGATGCAAGTTTTGCTTTCTACAATTGGTTAGTGATTCTAAACATGATGATTTACATTTTGGTATGTTTATATTTCATTAAGCATGGTTAGATTACATTTTTTAGTTATTAAATTATATATATACACCATCTAGTATATCACTCCGATAAATACTACTTATCCCCGATATATCCCCGATTTCCGGATTTCTTGATTGTTGATGATTAGGGGGATAGTTTTGCAAATACTGAGATTTGGTAATAGCTTTGCAGATATGTATGATTTAAGGGTATATATACAAGGCACTAACTCTACTAATTAAAGTTATCTAGGTTTTCATTTTAATTAAAAAAAGAGATAATAGTCCAATTTCATTAAAACAGCTTTTCATGTGCTGGAGACCTTATTAGTTCTATGTTGAGCAACTTGCTCCCATTTTAGGAGTTACTACCCTAAAATAGTCCAATCCTCGTCTCAATAATTAAAGTATTACAGCAAAACATCATCTATAATCTCTTTCCAATTTTAATCAACAATATCACGTCCTTGTCTAACCATTTATATGAACTAATCAATTTAGTATATGAAGTCACTCCAAGTTAGTGTGTGTGTGTATGCTTCACTCCATATCAAACCACTATTTTAAATATTGGCCGATAACCGATATTATCGGCCGAGTTATCGGATTTGGGAGCTCTCCGATAGGATAACTTGGATTTTTAATCGGTTATCGTTTTTGGCAAATTATCGGGGAGTTATCGGCGTTATCGGTACTTATCGGCCGATAAGTAAGGTTTTTTTATCGGGATTATCGGCCGATAAGTAAGGCTATGCAATCGAATGGTTTCATCGTGCGGTCAAGATGCAAGTTTTGCTTTCTACAATTGGTTAGTGATTCTAAACATGATGATTTACATTTTGGTATGTTTATATTTCATTAAGCATGGTTAGATTACATTTTTTAGTTATTAAATTATATATATACACCATCTAGTATATCACTCCGATAAATACTACTTATCCCCGATATATCCCCGATTTCCGCTATCCGATAAGAATTTTGGTCGTCCGATAAATTCCCGATAACCGATATTTAAAACCTTGGTGATAACCAAAATAATAGGTTATAGTCTACAAAAATTTGGGAATTTCAGAATACACATTAAATATTCTCTACAATATAGCAATTTATGATTTTGTGGAAAACGATTACGATCATGGGCTATAGGTTACAAAAATTCGAGAATTTTGTACTACGACAATCTGTCATTGGCTCGAAAGTGGTCAAAATCATAGGTTACAGTCCAATAAAATTTTGAAATTTCTGAATATGCAAAAAATATTTCATGCGGAATGGAAACTTGTAATTTGGTCAAAAACATCCAAAATGATGGGTTATAATTCACATAAATTCAAAAAAATTTGAAGTATACAAAAAATGCTCTCTTTGGTAAATCAATTCTAATTAGGTCAAAAAACTTCATAATCATGAGCTAGAATCCACAGAATTTCAAGAATCTGGTGTATGCATAATATATTTTACACATGATGGAAATTTGTAATTTGGTGAATGGAAAAAATCTTGGATGATAACCCATAAAAATTCAGGAAAATTCGAGCCTGCATAAAATATTCTATGCGTGAGGCGACTTCTCATTTGCTAAAAAATGGCTAGCATCATGGGTTATCGTCCACAAAATTTTAAATTTTTTGAAATGCGCATAAAATATTATGTGGGATAGTAACTTGTGATTTGGTCAAAAGCGAACGGAATCATAAGTTATAGTCTACTAAAATCCGGGAATTTCTGCATGAAATATTATATGCGGGACGACAACTTGTAATTTGCTCGAAAATGACCAAAATGAAGGGTAATTCGGCTACAATAATTACGCAGTACACATAAAATATTCTATGTTAGATGGCAATTTGAGATTTTATCAAAAACGCTCATAACCATGAGCTTAGTCCACCGAAATTTAGGAATTTTGGTGCAAGCATAATATATTTTATGGGTAATCGCAATGTATAATTCCTTTTCTATTAGTAATAAAACAACTCCAATATTAAACAGCTTCGACATTCCTCACAACAAGATGCAAATCTCATGAGATACTCAAAGACTAATTAATTAACTATTTCATAATAAATCAATAAGAAATATAGCTGGGTAAATTCCAAAAAACTATGATCAATTATAGGTTGTTTTGGACAAAACTTTCATAATTTTCTTATTAGAAAAATACATAGTATAGACAGTTAAGTAAGACATTGTTTGCATTTTGCATAACATATGTTGGATGTTTTATAATTTTTGTGATTGAAAAATATAAATAAAAACAGTTTAAATATTTTATTCAAAACATTAATATTGTTAGTAATATTTCAAATAGTTTAAAATTTTGTCACATGGCATCCCTCTTGGCTGTAAGGAAAGATAGTCTGGTACAACCAGTGAAGTTAAAAAGGATATAAAAGAGTTAAGTGCTATGTAAATTAATTTAGAAAACTCTAAAAGTACACATTATTGGTTTAATAATTGGACCCCACTTGCCGAAATTCTTGGTTCTGCCCCTGGGTACACATAATATAATCTATGGGGGATAGCAATTTCTGATTTGGTCAACAGTTAAAATCATGGATTATAGTCCACTGAAAATTTCAAAGTATGCATAAAATATTCTATGTGGAGTGACTTATGATTTGCTTGATAATCGCCAAATCATGAGTTATTATCCATGAAAATTCAATGGATAATTCAAAAAATTTCGAGGTACACATGAAATATTCTCTATGGGACAGTAATTTATGATTTAGCCAAAAAACGAAAGGGTTCATGAGTTATAATCCATAGAAAGTTTGCAATGTTGTACTATGCATAATATATGTTATGTGTGATGGCAAATTGTGATTTGGTAGAATACAACTAAAATCATGGTTTATAGTCTAAAAAAATTTGAGAATTTTAGAGTACACATAAAATATTCTCTGCAAGATGGTTATTTGTGATTTGGTTGAAAACTGCCACGATCATGGCTTAGAATCCACAGAAATTTGGGAACTTCATAGTATGCATAACATATTGTATGCGAGATGACAACTTGTGATCTGCTCGAAAATGGTCAAAATCATGGTAGTCCATGGAAGTTCCAAAGAGTTTGGAGCACAAATAAAACATTCTCCATGAGACAGGAATTTGTGATTTGGTTGAAAATGACCATAATTATGCGCTATAGTCCAAGAAATTCTGCTGTACGCATAATATAGGCATGACAAATAAAGCTGAACAAAAATTCAAGACCAGTTATTTTAATAGGAGAACCAGACTGTGAACAGAGTAGGGAGGAACAAAATCTACTTTATGGATTTTACATTTATAAGAGGCCATAATTTTTTGTTCTCTTCAACACAGTTACAGAACTTCTCTTTGCATAAAGGCATGGAGTAATTTCCTAGATGACTTTCTATTCTGTAGACCATAAAATAAAAGAGGTACTCCAGAACAAATCTTAGAACAATTCATTCTCACGAATAATTCAACCAGTACATGATGTCGCCTATGCATTAATGCGTCGATATGTCAAGTAAATTAAATTGCAGAACAGTTAGTGTTGTCATATTAAAATGTCCAGTTAATTTTGTAATGGATTGGGGCTCAGTTCAAAAATTCTACAGAGTTTCACATTTTAGATACACATTTTACAAAAAAAAATAACAAAACAACAAAGTTTTTAGAAGAAAAATGATACAAGTGGCATAGAAGAAAATCCACCACTATAACTACAAAAGTTGGTATTAAATGATTTACAAAATCTAGAAAATGTAATAGGTCATAACATGCCAAGGCCTAAAACTTATGCAACAAAGCCAGAGATAGAAAACTAAATGGTGCCAAAGGCATCTACAGTAAAATTAATAGTATCAAGAAATTAGTTATAGTAAAACTTACAGCCCCCAGTTTCCCCAAGGTTCTATTCTCAAAAATCTAAGAAGACTGTATATATCCTCCAGTTTATTCTGCCACATGAATTAGTAGGTTAGGAAGAAAGCAAGAAAAACTAAATGAATGCTTCAAAGACAAATGACAACAGGTTACTGATGATTTAGGAACATAAATATTTCTGTCAAAGCAAAATGAAGACGGCTAAATCATTGAACTGGCAGGACAACTAATAATAAGAAAGGTTACATGATAATCCAGTTCCACACAAAATTACTAACAAAGAAAGAGATAATCAGGAAAAGGACACATGGCTCACATCAGCATTCAAACTATAACAGCAACTAGCATGCATATACATGAACAGGAAGGAGGATGTTGAGGACTGCAATATAAAGACATCCTAGAGCACAAGATGGCTGCCCCTGCCGGATCTAGGGGAGAGAGATGAACGCAGCCTTATGCATATTATGGAGAGGCTGCTTTCACGACTTGGACCTGTGACCACCAGGTCATTTCAAACCTTACTAAGGCTTACGGTTAGCCTTGTGTTGTTATCATGTAAATGACCTCTTTGTAGCATTAAGTCGTCTGAAGTAGTTACCCATCAAAAAAACTTCGGTATATTCATCAGGCATGGAATTTTGCAGATGTCATCACACTTCAATGTATCAATCTAATAAAGGATTTTACCAAAAAAGGAAGAGCTCTACACGTGAAATGCCAGTCAAACCAGGGTTGCCTTTTGCATGGTGTAGAAAGATGCACCATCAATCTAAACAACTTGATGGCTGCAAAGAA